GAGAAGAGCCGAGCCGGGGTTCGTCTCCCCGAACAGCCAGTCTGGGCTGTGGGTGCCAGCCAGGGCGTCACTGGAGGACAAAGGCACCCAAACCCACGGCCCTGGGGGGCTGCGCTGGAAGTTGGTGGCGTCCAGCCTGCAAGGGGGCGGGTGCTCAGCCCAAGAGGCTGCGCTGCTTGCGGGGCTGAGCTGGGACAGGCCACGGTCCACCACGTCTGTCCGCAGACCCGGCCGTGGGCAGGAGCACAGAGCAAAGCCACGCTCGGTCCAGGGCACATTCCCAGTGTAAGTGGGCAAAGATCAATTGACTCTTCTCCAAGTTGCCTACAGCTTTGGAACCCGCCTTTCCCTGCCTTACTGGGCTGTGCTGGTGCAGGACCAAGTAGCAGGAAGGTCAGAGGAGCCTGCAGCGGGAAAGCAAGGCCACAATTGTGCTGGCACCAAAAAGGAATTGAAACTGCCTGGCCGTCCAGAGAAGCATTTGTGCCTAGAAGCAGCTCCCCTTCCCTCACCAAGGCCAGGGGACGCAACGTGGTCGCACACCGGGCAGTGGGGGGGCAGGCAAGGCACAGGGGCAGGGAGGGCTCTGTCTCCCAGAGCTGAGGGGCACTGCAGGAGCCACACACACGTGAACTCCAAGCTCCTCAAACCAGTCTGGCCCCGATGCCCCCTCTGGCCCCGCAGGGGAGCAGGACTGAGGCCCCTCCACCTGCCCCTATCGGGGCAATCGCTGCCCTCCGCACCCACCCGCTGGCATGTGACTCATGGCTGACGTCCTTCAGTCAGAAGTTCCTTCTCCATCTTCCCCTCAGCCCTCACTGTGACTTTCTTGGCTGGACACATGTCAGGCCTGGTAGCCACAAAACCACCCTCAGGCGAGCGCTTGGAGGGTGGAACCCCCTTCAGTGACTGGGGGCACCTTAAAAGCCTCCCGTATTGAGAATCCAGCAGCCTGAGCAAAACTGCCACTCACTCATCACAAACAGGCAGCAAGCAAACCAGGTCTTGTCCAGATTCAAATTCAGAGCTTGGCCACAGCCCACCCCCCCGAGGGGGGCCGACGTGCCCTGGGCTCAGCCCACAGCCTTACCTATCTGGTGCGGGGAGTAGGTGAGGCATCCCGTGGTGAAGATCAAGTATTTTGTCTTGCTGTTGCTGTCCGTGGGGAGCAGGTTCAGCTCAGGGGGTTTAGTTCTGCTGCGTACGAACAGCTCCGCCACCTTGGTCTCCAGCTCCGTCTCTGTCAGGGCAGGCCGCACGCGGCCCTCCATGATATCATCAAAGAGCTGCTGCAGCCCATCCTCTGCTGTCACACCCCTGTCATCCGGCAATTCCTGTACTGCTGGCTCTGGAGTCTGCTTGGGCTTGGCCTTGGCCTCCTCTTCCTCGCTGTCACTGCCAAGATCGAAGACCGGGCAGGTGGAGGAAGCAGCCAGCTGCTCCTCGTAGTCCAGGAGCAGGTCCGGGGAATCGTACCGGCTGCAGTCGGCCACCATCACGGTCCGGATCGTGCTGGCATTCAGGTTCTGGATTTTGAACAGTCTCTTCACTACATTCACGTTCTCAGACTCTACGCCCTGCAAGCAGAAGGGACAAGTAAGCAGGAACCACCCCACCACCCCTGTAGGTCACTCCTACAGCTCCCACTGCCCAGCCCTTGCGCCCACGCGGCCGACACCAGCCGCGCACCAACCCCTCTCTGCACTGCTATCCGCAGCGCTGGCCACAAGTGGCCCGAGAGGCTGGTCGGGTTTGTGGCACTTCTGCACATCTTGGAGGTGGGTACAAAAAGCTCCTGCAGGCAGATGACAGCCGCCTCGCTGCCCCTGCCCCCGCCTGAGGCCGTCAGCCAGTGCCGCTTGGCGCCTTACAGGAATTTCAGGAACAGGCCTCCGCGATAACCATCGGTGCAGCGCAGTGCAGCGTGCCACCCCCTGGCCTACACACAGCAGAGGAGCCCCGTGCTCCTGGAGCTTGCCTGTTTGCCTCAGCAGGACCAGCCTGGCTATCCCAGACACAAGCAGCAGGTCTCTTCCTGCCCAACTGCTCTGGCAGCCTCCGGCCACGCTTCAACACCCCCTGTCAACGCGGGCAAGGTCCTTCCTCACTTCTTGGAGACGGAAGAGTTAAGCTGTGGCGTCAGCGCACCCCATAGATGTGGCCACGGGCAGGGTGTCTGCTGCCAGAGGGTTTCACCCAGGGACAGCATCAGTGGGTCACGTCACAAACCGCAGAGCGCCAGGATGTGCAGCCGTGACGCCGAGACAGAGGCAAAACGTGGAAGAGGAGCACGTCCCAGGAGCACAAGCGCCAGAGAACGAACACGCAGCAAACGAGCGGTCCAAGGCCAGCACAGGCTGATCCCCGGGTCTCACCGCAGCGGAAGAGGCAGCACCTGGCCCCCAGCAACGCCAGCGGGGACAGGCAGGGCTGAACACAGCCTCCCGGCTGCCTCCAGCTCGGGGAACAGC